CCGCTCCCACCCCAATCCAATCCCAATCCCAATCCCAATCCCAATCCCAATCCCAATCCTGGTAACCCCGTCCCACTCCCGTCCCGYTCCTGTCCCGCTCCCACCCCAATCCCAATCCCAATCCCACTCCCGCTCCCGACTGACCCTGTCCCAATCCCAATCCCAATTCCGCTCCCAGCTGACCCCATCCCACTCCCTTCCTGCTCCCACCCCAATCGCAATCCCAATCCCAATCCCAATCCCAATCCCAATCCCAATCCCAATCCCAATCCCACTCCCACTCCCAACTGACCCTGTCCCTCGGCCGCAGGCTCAAGACCATCGGGCTGGTCATCCGGAGCACGCAGGGGGCTGAGGAGCTGCTCCGCAAGTACGAGGAGCAGCTCAAAGACGTGCAGGCGGTGCCGGCCGACCTGGCTGAGCTGGAGTCCAGCAAAGCCGAGCTTAAGGTACCGGGGGGCRCTCTGGGGGTGCCGAATGGGATCGGGGTGGGGGTGTGACCAGATCTGACCACCGCCCGTCCACCCCAGCGTCTGCGGTCACAAGCCGAGGGCCACCAGCCTTTCTTCAGCACTCTGGAGACCGACCTGGGCAAAGCCAAGGACGTCAACGAGCGCATGGTGCGCGGGCACAGCGAGCGCGACGTGGACCTGGAGCGCTACCGGGAGCGGGTGCAGCAGCTGCTGGAGCGTTGGCAAGCCGTGCTGAGCCAGGCTGACCTGCGCCAGCGCGAGCTGGACCAGCTGGGCCGGCAGCTGGGCTACTACCGGCAGAGCTGCGACGAGCTGCGGCGCTGGATCGGCGACGCGCGGCAGCGGCAGGAGAGCATCCAGGCCGTGCCCATCACCGACAGCCGCGCCGTGCGCGAGCAGCTGCTGCAGGAGAAGGTGGGGGTGGTTGTGGGGTCAGGGGGGCGCTGAGCTGTCCTAATGGGGTAATGGGGTGCTGAGCTGTCCTAATGGGGTGAGGGGGGCTCTGGGCCATCCTAATTGGGTGAGGGGGGCGCTGAGCTTTCCCTAATGGGGTGAGGGGGGC